GGCAGAAGTGAGGCTGAGCCTGAACTGCAAATACGCACCCATGCACACAGACAGCACAGACACGTATGGCTGTAAGCATTAATGTATGGCAGAACAGTACCTTTATAGGCACCCACAAGCACAAAGGGCATTCACGTGGAACAGGAAGACCACAAATGGCCTAATTCTGTCCCTACTTATCAGATACACTAGCGAATTTCAAGCCTGGTTATCACACACATGCCCTTTCTCAGCTGACATGCATACTTACAGTCATGGATCTGTCCAGTCTCTGCCAAACCCAGAGTCCTTCCTACCTGTCTCGAGGCCCTGGACTTTTTAATCCAGCCTCTGGCCAGGATCTTGGGTTTGCAGATTGTGGTTTCCTCCTATTCACAGGCTAGTCCAACTTGAAGTTAACTAGATGAACGTGCTCAGAAACTATTTAGGAGCAAACAGCGTTTGAGAAGAAGATGGGATAGACTACAGAAAGGAGACAGAGCAGCCTACTGACCTGCAGCTGCTAACATGTGATCAACCCATGTTATCCCTCACCCCCTTTCTGTTCCCATGGTTGTTCCTCTCCTATCCACCTTGATCCCTCCCTTTCCCCACCTTTGATCCTTCCCCTAAACATCCATAAGTTTTTCACATTCCCACAGCCTCTTCTTAAGACATCTTAATAGTAAGTTTTACCCGATCCCAGAATTTCCCCCATATCCCATAAGAAGTTTTCTCTTGCCTATGAGATGTGTTCTGGTAACCCATGGTACTATTCTTCCTGTCTTATGAAGTTTCTGGTTTAATTTCTTCAAGGTCACACTCAAGTTGCTCCTGTAATGCCCCATCCATCAGTGTCCCAGGAGTTTTGGTCTTTGTTACTCTCTTATCTGCAGTTTGTTAGAGTTTGTGTATCTGCATATTTAATTTGTCACCTCTCCTGTTCCTAGTCTGTTTTATATGCTGAATAGCTAAATACCGGATACCCTTACAGTTTCCTATTTCCTTTCAACTGCAAAACCGAATTAAAAGACACTTAGGAAAGCAGCACACAGTGTTTGCAATTAGTTTTTCCCCCTGCCATGTTCCAGTTGTTGTACTTGTCACAGAGGTATTTGATGATTTTTAACAGGAAGGAATGTTTCTGAAATTACTTGGCTGTCAAGATAGAACTGTCACATGAAAATTTTAATTTTCTTCAAATTGTTTGATGTGGAGTTGGGAGGGATATATTTGGTGATTGTTTTGCTTTAGTTTATGGGAAGTGTTGGGTTTTTTTATTCCAAATTTTAATAACAAGCATGATTCATGTCCTTTTGTTTACTTCTGCTTCTTTTGCACCTTTTAATTCTCTGTACTAGCTTGTTATTACTTTACAAAGAAAATTAAAAGAAGCTCTTCTCTTGAGCATCTGTTTGTGGCTGCTACATTTTGCTTTTCCCTAGTGGCTTAATGTTGCTGTGTTTAAGTGGTGGGTTTGAAGCAAAGCTTTCCTGTTGTAGGAGGACAGTTTTATCTAAGGCTTTCTGTATAAAAATAGAAGAGTCCGTAAAACAAGTGTTTTGTGGTGGAGTAGGCAGCAGTAGGGATCATGAACAGCTTTTAAATGAAAGACAATCCGGTAATTTAGAACCACCTTACTGCTCACACTTGTTAATCTCATTTCTTTCTTCTGGTTGCCTTGCTCTGTTCTTCCTAACTCCCTTCTCTTTTTACCCCTCTTTCTCCTATTTTTCGATTTTAAATTAGAATGCATGGCCTTGGAGAAGGGACCATCTCTTATTGCCCACATATTTTTTTGACAACATAAAAATAGATCTCTCTTCTGACAGGGGCCTCCGGATAATCTTATAATATACTTAAGAGGAAAAATTGCTAACCTTTCAAACTGCAGTCTGGCTTGTGGCCTAGTTCAAGTGGCATATTGTCATCTGAACAACTTCAAGACTTAATTTTTTCCGTCATAATTGTCAGGGATGACAGGCTGCTCCTAAGGGAAGGTGAGCTGGAAGCCAAGGGTGATCCCAGCCCAGGCAGTCGCCTCACTTAGCAGGGCACAATCTTGCAGCACCTCAGCACAGCAGGCAGAGACAGGTGCTGGAAATAGGGTCCATCCACAGCCCTGGACAAGGCAAAACAATGAACCAGGTCCAGGGTCTATCCAGAGAGTCCAGTCAGGAGTAGCAGGAGATGGGTCTGGAGACAGTGATGATGCAGTAAGTCTGAGGTCCATCCAGGAGACAGGGCTTGGGACAGGTAAACCTACAATACAGGTCAGGACCAGACTAGGGAGCACAGGCTGAGCTTAAATGGAGCCCCTGGGCAGAGGGTGTGGGTGGGAGCCCCATGTGAGACCACTCAGGACAATTAAGGCTTCAGGGCCCCGACAAACAGCAGTACCTCTTCAAAGTAAAACTGTTTGAGGAAGCATCCATATTTCCATTGTTTTCATGAGAGGAAAGAAGCATAGAGAAATCGGAGCTCAAACTATTAAGTTGTCTTTGCAGTTTCTTTGATTTTGTGAACTTCATCCTGATGTGAGAGGGGCTCAGAAGAAGGCTGATATCTCCTATAGAAATAATTTGTTTGAAAATTAAACACTAAGACAATTACCACGTACAAAATAAGAATCAAATTGTTAGTGACTGCTGGGTTTTAATCACAAGTATACCACGGGCATATCGTGCTTTTTCACTGTTTTTTTTTGACATTGATGTCTCACTGCACAGACAGCTCTCGCTCTGTGTGAATGCATGCTGAAATGTGTCACAATGAGGGTAGTAGCTTTTGAATCTCCATCTTGAACAGTTTCCTTCTGAATGCCAAAGATAAAAAGGAAGCCTGTTGCATCCAGTGGTTTGCTAGACAGCTGCAGAATGCAGGATCTTTATGCCAAGGAGTTTCCTAGAGATAAGGAATAGGGACTTGAGGGTTAAGTTTTTGGTGTATTGTTATTTTCCATATTTCTTTCATCTGTGTTTTTCAAAGTATTTTGAGAATGTGAGTATAGGGAGTAAGTCTGTTTGACAGAACTTACAGCCAAATAAATAGATCCTATATGTGGTTTTTGAGGGGCATTTTCTCTGAAATGTGGAGTATGTGTCTGGATCTGTTACAACTGACCCCTTGCAGTCTTTTTGGTCTCTGGAAGTTTGATTCCATACAGAGGAAGGATATGAGACCATATTTGTTAAAAAAGCTTGTGGAGTTCAAGGAAGAATTAGTTCAGTGCATTGCAAAAGTTGGGCTGTGTTATCTCCTAACTCCCATCAACACTTCCTTTGTTAAATCAGAATATTTTAGTATGGACTGCTGTGGCACTGGTAACAGAAAAAAGAGAGTCTCCTTTCTGTGTCTGTGCCTTGGAGGTAAACAGAAGTCCAGTAGTCTGACAAAGCTTGGGATGTTGTCAAGGGGACAGAATGAGTAAACAAGGCAGAAGCCTTGCTGCTCCGAGCTTGGTTAAATATGGGAAGACTTTTAGCGGTGAGGAAATGTATTTCTCTGACTTCCAGTTCCTTTTCAAATGTCAGGTTCCTTTTTTATAACTCAAGAGTTTTAGGAGTTAGCCGAAAGTAATTTTTGCATTGGCAGAGCTGCGTCATCTGAAGGATAGCTAAATCTGCTGGACTGAATGACCTGTGCATTTCTCACCTCCTGGTCCCATCAATATGAGCGCTGCTGCTTATTTCTGATCTTAGATCCTGCCACTAATGAGGTTTAGTACAGTTTCCAAATAAACACACACACACACTGTAGAGATGTGACTGGCACCAGGCAGATGAACACAGGTGGCACGCTCGTAGCGTTACCCACCTAAGCAAAGGCAGCCCAGAGTGCCTGATGCCGTTTCGAAGGGTTGCTGCCTAGAGAAAACCTTGACGAGTTTCTCCAGGACATGTCCCTGCACCTCTCGTTCTGCTTGCTAATTAGTCTGGCGTGGAGTTCACTGGCGTATGACACACACACACACACTCTAGAGAGCAGGATCACACAGGAAGTAGTTAGGAATGGAGGTTAATAAGAAGACAGGACAGACTGCGATGGTTAGGCTGCACCAGGCAACTGAATTGACTGATTTCGTGCTTGTATGTAATGGGCCTCTTTTATCCTCCTCTCTCCATTTTCCTGTGTTTGTTCTAGCCTGATCCACCTTGCTCCCTTCCTTTTCCTGCCTTTGGCCTTTCCCTTAAACAATACATAATGTGTCCTGTACAGTCTCCTAAATGTCCTGTTCAGTCCCAAAGTCCTTCCCAGGGACCACATCCCATTAGAAGTCCTGTACCTCTTTATGCAGCAGTATCCCATATTTTGCATAGTATTCTGGAGAGAGTTTCTTCTGTTGAATCCCCTTAGTGGGTGAGTTTCACACTAAGGACAATGGCTTTAACTGTCCATCTTTGATGGTTTTAGGAGTAGCTGATTGGGATGGATAAGGCTATCTGTGTTCTCCCCCTTATCATCCCAGCCTAGTTCCTCTGATCATTATCTGCTTATTTTGAATAACCATTAGCTAGATGTCTTTGCAACTAGTCTTTTGCTTGCTTTTTTGTCTAAAAAAGGCCAACTTTTTTTCAGTTAGGTATTTAAAGACTATGATTTAAAAAAAAATATCTGTACCAAAGGCTGAGCATGGAAAACATTTACTTGGAAGGCTAGAGCATAGTAAAGTATCAAGTGATAAAAGATGAATTAAAAAGGAATATATGCCTTAAAACATGGTATATGTTGGTAAGATTTATCTTGGTAAAACACTAATTAAAAAAGAATATAGCCTAAGTAGCCTCCAGAGTAGTCTGCAGTCATCCAGAGCTGTTTATTGTATGTTAAGGAAATGACAAATACAAACAATTCCTTCTTTGTCCTTAATGTAAATTGAAAAGCTTACATTTACGTTGATGTGTATTCATGGGATTATATTCAGTGTCTCCTACAAGACAGCAGGGGGTAATAGACTGGGTTTAATACCTTTTTAAATGGTTGATGCTGCTCTTGACCTAATCTTCAGTATCTTTTTTCAGCTGCTGGTTCAGTTTGTTCAGAATACTTCTATTCCTCTGGGGCAAGGGCTGGTGGAATCAGAACCGAAAGACATCACCTGTCTTTCTCTCCTTCCTGTTACTGAGGCCTCAGAATGCAACAGACTCATGTTGCCAGGTAAAATCTATGCAGCAGATCTTCCTGAGCATGCTCTTTATACAGCTGTGGCCAACTGCCTTATCTGTGTGATAAGGCATTCCGAGGATGGAGGAGGAAGTTCAGAAGGGTGACTGAAACTTTCCTCATTTAACAGTGAAGTCTTACTAGTTAGAAAATTCCTTCCTCTTCCAGTCTCTCTCAAGTTCTCTTTTTTTTTTAATAGAAAAATAACTTCATAGGTATCTTTTAGTCACAGTGCATTTGCACTTCTATTTACTTTGTTTTCACTTTCTTCATTAGATGATGAAAGAGATCTCACTTCTCCAAGTCACACTAATTCTTCCAAAGATGTTTCTTCATCTGCTGTCTTGAGAAGTCTCCAGGTAAACGTGGGCCCTGATGGAGAGGAAACAAGGGCACAGAATGTACAGAAACCATCTGAACTTCTGTCAACTCCAGAGACTTCCAGTTTATTGCAAGACCTCCAGCCCAGTGATAGCACTTCATTTATTCTCCTCAACCTAACAAGAGCAGGTAATTCTCCTTCTTTTTGTCATCTGGCTGGATATGTCTCAGACAAGAGAATGCAGCAGATAAAACTCTGTCCCTGCTGCTTATGAAGGGGAAAGATCATGAAATTTTCTGGGTGTTATTGGATATTTCAGGAGCGTTTAATCATCAACAGCTGCCTACAATGTAGAGGTCAGTGAAGATTTTTTCGGTGCAGCCATTGCTTTTATGTCATGAACACTAGCCTCTGGGAAGCAAAAGAAATTTCCCTCTCTTACATTATCCTGGTGTTTCATGAAGTTGTCTTCTTTTCTAGGGCTAGGGTCTCCAGCAGAGCACTTGGTGTTTGTTCAAGATGAAGCAGAAGATTCTGGGAATGACTTTCTCTCTCATGATAGCACAGACAGCAGTACCCCATGGTTCCTACGAGTGCAAGAATTGGCCCATGACAGTTTAATTGCTGCCACGCGGGCACAGCTCGCTAAGAATGCCAAAGCAAGCAATAATGGTAGGAAATCCCTTGATTCTGTCTCAAAAGTTGAATGTTCCATACAAGGCCCCTAGTTTTGGCTTGGTTTTTCCTCTTTCATTCTCTCTTGCTTTTAATCTGTTCTGACATGTCTTCACATCATCAGTGACAGAATTATACAGAAAATCATTTAGTTCTTCTGCAGTACGAATAGGCTCCTCAGTTTTTCTCAGGGTGTGAACTTTAGTGGAGCCAGCAGTTCCACTGTAGTCCACCTGTTCTCTGGTACGTGTAAAGAGTATCTCTTTTCTGACTGCAACTGTTTGTATTTCAACTTTCATTTTCACTTTCAAGTGTCTAATTTTCATGCATATTGTAGTTCATACTTTCTTCTTAGCTCCACTGGGTTTGGAGATCAGCTTTCTGGAGAATACATAATTGGATTTAGTCACATGCTTTGTGACTTGATTATTTTGATCAATAATTGCAAACGCACTATCTCTTTTTTTCAGCTAAGATGTTTTTAAAAAGAGTTATCCTGGCTGATACTTAAAATTGGTTGGTTGATGTTGATATAGCGACCATTTTTGCAATTTTTGATGCATTGGCTTTCAATTCTTGTGGTAACCCTCACCTGGTAGCAGCTAATCTGATACGGATAGCTTGTTGGGAATGGCTTATATGGGCCTGGTAAGGTTTGCAGATCTGTGTCTCATCCCTGTTATGGGCTAGGCAGCAGCATGTAGGACACGGTAAACAATTAGTAGCCAGGCACATACCTGCTTCACAGTCCTGTACCAAATATGATGCTGGTTTTATTTGTTAAATTTGACACATTATAGTAATCTGTATCTTTTTTTAGATTTTACTGGGCTTTTTCTTCCAGGTGAAAATGTTCATCTTTGCTCAGGAGATGGGCAACCGAAAGACTCTAGCCCCATTCCTCACTTGTCTCGTGTGGAAAGGAAGCTGAAGTGCACAGTTGAGGGCTGCGATCGGACGTTTGTGTGGCCAGCTCACTTCAAGTACCATCTGAAAACACACCGGTGAGCAGAATGAAGCTATATGTTGCCATGACTTCGAAAAACTGCTCTGTATTTGGGATAGCATTAGATTTTGACATCAACAAGTTGTGAAAACTCGGTATTACTCGTAGAAGTACTAGGCCTGTTGCATGCTTTAGGTCATTTATGTTGAAACACTTGGACTAGATTTAGATTATTTTTGCAGGTCTTTTTTAGTGTTCAGTTTAGAATATTTGTATTTTAACAGGTGCTCAATAAAGAACATCAGTATCACTCCTGTGGTATAGTGAACATTAGAACTTGTAGGATGCTATCATATTTTTATATAACCTTGAACAAAGTTGTTTCCTCTAACAAATGACCCTGATGTTTTTTAGCCAAGAAATTGGCAGTCTCTAAGGCAAATTGTAGATGAGAAGCTTAAAAACTGGGAAGGACTCCAATAGACATGAGCCCATCATCTTGCCCTGAGACAGGATCAGCAGTAATTGCCTATGTTATATATACACATATGGCCATTTTGATCTTCCAGTGACTGAAATTCCACAACATTCCTATATGATCTGTTGCACTGCTTTACTAAATAATTCTGGGTAGGGAATAAGCAAGGTAATATGATGAAAAGATGCTACCTGAACAAATTCTTCCAGTGGGCCATGCAGACTTGAGTTCCTTAGGATTTAGGTCACTCACATTTGTTGAGTCTCTCCATTTTCTGATACACTTAATTTCAGTTTAAATGTTTCTGCTTTTTATTTAATCCAAAAAAAAAAAAGAGTCAAGTGCTCATGAAAAGTACATTGCAGTAGCTGGTAATGAAACAGCTATTAACATTGATTTCCAGGAACGACCGCTCCTTCACCTGCCCAGCAGAAGGCTGTGGAAAAAGTTTCTACGTCTTGCAGAGGCTGAAGGTGCACATGAGGACTCACAACGGTGAAAAACCCTTTGTGTGCACGGAGCTGGGCTGTGGGAAACAGTTCACAACAGCTGGAAATCTGAAGAACCACCTACGAATTCACACTGGTGTGTTTTAGACCTCACCTATTTGTGGTTGGCAGAGGTGGGGTCTTTACTGAGGAATAAACCACTTCCTCTTCCGTCCTCAAACTTTTGAGAATATTATGTTACTAATCTTTGCCCTTCATTAGTGTCCCTTTTCTATCAGTTCACGTTGATCTATAGGTCAAGTTAATCACCTGCTTACTCCCTTTACTGTCCTGTATATTTTCACCCAGGTTTCACCCTTCAAATACTATATGATGATGCTGTACTCTGCTCAGACCCATGCTCTGAAGATTCCTTTCCTCCCTCAAGTTTTTTGATGAAGGGAGGGGTGTGTGTTGTTTTGCGGAGAAACTAGACTGTTACCAAGGGAATAGTTAGTGAACACGACTGCTGTAATTGTTTTTTATAAAGAAGCTATTTTAAATGCCCGAAAGGCAAAATAGCTTAGAAATTTCTCCAGCGTGGAGTCCTGGTGGACATACTTGTAGCTGTACTGAGATCTGGCTGAATCGGGCTAGCTTATGTTACCGATGCTGCTTGTAGAATGACTACATTTGGGAAATTTAAGGAGCTGAGGAATACAGTGGAATGAGTAGCAAAAATATAGTAGTAGCAAAGTCTAGTGGAAAAAGGCAATAATTAGAAGACAGCGTTTTGGCGTGCAAACCGCTCTGTTTGTGCTAGTGCTAATCTGAAGTGTTACCATATGCTGGAGCCTATGTACTCTTAACTCATGCTCAGCTTTTTATATTAAATAAAGCAAGAACCTTTATTTCACAGTGCTGTAGTTTATACGTGGTTTGTTTATGCTGTCTTCTCTGGGGAATTTGATCCTGCCTTGTCAGTATTTTTGGAAGTTGGTGTGCCAGCCAAAGTCTTGACAACTGCATAAAGTGCTGTAGGTGGTTTTATGCTAGAAAGTTGTTTGAGAGAGTCACACAAGTTGCTGCTGAAATGGTCAGCAGTTTAATAGTTGGCAAAGTTCATAGTGAATTTTCTGGTGATTTTGTTTGGTTGGTGTTTTAAGCCTCAGGGTTGTCACACCACTTAAACAAATGACCCAGTTCAAGCCTCTCAGAATATTGTTAGAGATTCCCTGATGCCTAGGAAGGTAGTATTGCATTACGGTTGGGTAACATTTCAAAATAACCTTGGCAACTGTGAGAACCCAAGGCCTCTCCAGTAAAATGAAATTGCAAATTACGTGGGCCGCCAGCAGCTGTTTATGCCTTCTGCCTTACTTAAACACTGCCGGATGGTATGTACTTTGTAGACACAGATGGAAAAAGGTTGCTATTTTAAAAAATTTGCAGTCTTGCTAGAACATACGGTTTGGGGGCCGATGTTGGGGTGCAGTTAAAAGTTATGTGTATACCAATAGTAAAATTTTGAATGTGTAGTAAGAGCAGCCGTAGTTTTTACACTTTTCTTTTGTGCTTAAAGCTCCTAGCCAAGGTGGAGATAAAAGTTCTTAGGCCCAGCTGACACATGCACCATCCCCCATGATAGAGTGAGTGTTCTGCAACCAACATAGTAGCTTCTGGAGAAGTAAATAATAACTTTCTTAACTGCAAATTAATAACGTGCAAGGAAGAGTCTGATCAGACCAAAGGTGTTATAATAGATTTAGAGTTTCTTATAGATGAAACTGTGTGCTGTTGTTTTTGCCAATGGTAGTTTTTCTTCTTTCCAAGTTTTAAATATTTATAACAAGGGAGAAGGTACAATCAGTGTTTGAGAATCTGCTACATATTTCAGCTTTGTAAAACCAATTAGAACACGCTGTGTTTTTGCTCAGATCTGTTGAATGCCTTAGCAGATAGGAGGCTGAGAATCTAACTGTAGGGAGAGAACTTCTGAAGGCAAAATCACAGTAGAAACAACTTGAAAAACAAGTTTACTCTGAAAGAGCTATGTATACGTTAGATAATAAAATAGCTAAAACAGCTTGCTTAATTTCCTGTGACCTTGCTGTTACTCTGCTACAGTAGTCAAATTGAAGACTTGAAATCATAATGTTAAACATGGTGTATTGAGTTCTTTAGTGGGATGTTGCAGGCGAAAGTTACCTCTCGTTTTATTTAAGGCTTTATTGAGAGGGTATTTAGAACAGATGAATTATATCACATTGCATTAGTGTAGTCACCTCTCAATTTATCGTCATTTAGACAAATGCAAAAATAGCTGCAAAAAATATAAAAATAACAAATTTCAGCCTATGAGAACAAATTGTGCCTTGAATTACTGTTCCTTCACACATAAACATAAATGACTGACACATCTCTCTCAGGATTTTGCCAAGTTCAGCCTGATCTGAAATAAAGTATAGAATCGGGTGTGAAGGGAAGTGCAGCTAGTGGGATTTTTGGCACTGAGAGGCAGAAAGGGAACGGGATCCTGAGAGTGTGTGAAGCAGAGAGCTGGTTGTTCAGACCTGTATATAGAAGATATATCATAGTCCAGGCACTTTTATATTACTCTTTTGGTATTTATATACTTGGAAGATCTATTTAGAAATAGTGAACCCTTGCTTCGCTTTCAGTGAATGATGATCTAAGACTATTTCAGAAAGAAGATCAGTGTTTCCTCTGGCAAGCTTATGAAGAGAATGTTTTAAAAGCCTGAGGAAACATATGTCTAATTTCTGGTGAACTTTGTTGTGTGTAATGCCAAAAGGGGGAACGGGGTAGAGATCTCCAGGCTCATCTCAAGGACTTGGACGATCAGATCAAGTTGTGATCCCAAAATCTAAGAACTCACTTTTCCCTTGTAGGAGAAAAACCCTTTCTGTGTGAGGCACAGGGATGTGGTCGCTCCTTTGCTGAATACTCCAGCCTTCGGAAACATTTGGTTGTTCACTCAGGTAAAAGTCTTCATCTGACATTCTGTGAACTATCTGAGAAAAAAATCTTTATTGTAGGGCTTTGATTTGATTTCCTTAAGAAAAAATCCCCCGTTTTTTACAAGACTTCTGGTCATAGTGTTTTACAGTTTCCTTAGTTGTGCCTGTAGCCTGTACGCTTTAATCTTTTCTGTTATGTTTCTAAATTCAAATTATGTTTTTAAAAATTATTTTTTAAATTGTTGCTAAAATGTCATGAAGTTGGGTGTCTGTTTCGTAGCTGCCATTTTGTTATTTAAAAGAGAAAATCTAGCATCTCTGTATATTAATCAAAGACATTCAAATCTGAAATCTCTTATTAATGGATTTCTGCTACAGATAGAGCTTTCATTTACTTTTTAATATTACATACTTGTAGTTGGACAAAGCATTAGATGGAAATGTATTTCACAAGTGTTCCAAAGCTTTTTGCCTTCTGTTTTGATTGATCTATCTCAGCGCATGATGAATATGGCTTGTTTAGGGAAGGGAAAATTTTATTGCAGTAATAACTTTGGGAGTAACCGAGTTCTCCATGCTTTTTCTCTCCTGTCTCCTTGGCTTCCATGCTATTGAGCTCACATGTATGGACAGCATACTTCTTGTATTGTGAAAATGATAGACTGCTCTGTAAAATGGAAATCCTTTCACAGTGACAAGTCATCATCTGATCTGTACTCAGTGATGTAAATCAGATACTGCAATTTGTTGTGTGATGGCAGGAGATAGCTTCCTTGCCTCTGCTTCCTTGCTTTTGCGCATTTTATTCTAGATATGGGACATCAAATATTTCCATGTCACTGAGATTCCAAATAACTTATTCCCTCTTACGAATCAGACTTGAAGTCTTTATGTTACTCTTCAGACTTGAGGTTTCCAACAGCTGGCAATACCGATACCTGAAACTCTTCTTTTCTGGAAGCTTGTTGCTCTCCAGGAAACATGAATATTTCTTGTTTGTTTTTTTCACTGATAATTAGCATCAGAGAACAGCCATTTCAAAACAGTATTATTGGCTTCTTGGTTGATGGGGTCTTTATTCCCAATTTGGTAATTCTTGGGATATTTTTCCCCCTTCTCCTCCAAGGAGTGAAGCCCCATCAGTGCCACATTTGTGGGAAGACATTTTCCCAGAGTGGTAGCAGAAATGTGCATATGAGGAAACATCACTCCCGAATTGGAACAGCTGGCAGCAGAGAGCGAGAACAGCCAGGTAAGGAAGGGAGGGGCACTCTCTGTGGGCGAGAAGTGCAGGAAAGAGTTAGTGGATGGGGAAGAGAAGGGAGGATGTTTGTCCTGAAAATATGAGACCACAAGCCAGTAAGGAATTAAAGACTATTCCTCTTGGAGATGAGGATGGATGCTTAACCTTCTCTTTTCTAGGATAGAAGACAAAGCTGTGTTTCTGTATTAACATGAATCTGTTTGTGGTTTTTTTTACATGGAATTTGTGTCTTTTGTTATGTATTCTTGTTGTAAGCAGCCTGGGTTTTTATGCCATGTGAATTATTTAAAGAGAAAGCCAAGCATGCTTGAGACCGGGCCATACTAAGGCTCAAAACAGTAAATACAGGAGTTACCATCCATTGGACTGCTGGATGACCAGAGTAGGAATGGATAAAGTAGATGTCTAGGGAAGAAGTCTGTGTGACTTGGAGGGGGACAGGGATTGTATCTTATATTGCAGTATTATTGCATCACGAGGCTTTTGTTTTACCCTTTTTTTTTATCCACACTAGAGTCACTGATGGGCAGCAGTTTGCTGGAAGAATCTACAGTGCACAGTAAGAATCTCATCTCCATGAACTCTCAGCCCAGCCTTGGTGTTGAGTCTCTGCACCTGCCAGACACTGAGTCTATTATTGGAGTGGAGGAGGGTGAGACCAGCTGCTCTTTTTTCCGTCCTCTTATATGTGGTGACTGAAGTGAGATCGACCGTTCCTCCTAGAGACTCGCCATGTGGCAGCGAACGTTGCTTTAACTGTGCACAGAGCAGGTGGGTAGATGGAGAACGAATCATAAAACTGGAGTTGGAGAAGACCTGCCAGACCAAGTTTCTCTCTTGCAGAGCTTAAAAGGTGAAGTCTGCTGCTTAGGTGTCATTTAGCCCATGTCGTGGAACGCCATTTCAAAACTGTTTATGCAGTCCATTCTCCTAAAGCCTAATGCGTTTGTTTTGCTGGAAGCACCTAGGAGCCCCAGTTAAGGACCAGGACCTCATTGTGCTAGGCACCGTACAAACATCCAGTATTTTGAGCAACAGGCCTTCCTTCCATCCTTTACCTTCAGAGACTATATTCTAATCCATCTCACTGTCAGAAGCTGACTTACTTTCTGAAATAAATGTTCTACTTGATATCATTTAATTACATTTGCTGTGTTCTTTTCCTGCTTTCTCGTCACTTTTTCCTCCAAAACGTGTCTGGCATATCAAGCTCTTTAAATGAGTCTACCATGTAGGTGTTTTGAATTTTTGTCAAAGACTTTGTTCAGAATTGGCATTACTGAGAGTGCAATTTTGCCAAGATATACTGTGCACCTTTAATGGCTCCTATGTGAAGAGAATGCTCCGAGTTCATATTGCTCCCTAGCCGAATGTAAAGGTGGTGCCGCTGTCGGTATTGTAATTGGGAGGCTCTTGTAAAAACTCCACCTGTGAATCAGGATCTGAGGTGGTTTGGCTGCCATCTCCTCAGTTGATGGGAGATGCTCCAGTGAGATGTCTTCTTTACTACAGTATTTTTATAGGTTAGCTGAACAGGCTGTAATTCTTTTGACTAAAAATAACAAAATATTTTCATGAAATGCAAAATTACATAGCAAAAGTGGAAATGATTTATTTCCGTACCATTTTTGAGATATAGTAAGAGATTACAAATCTCTTTTAGGATTACGGAAATGTAATCCTACTTTCAGAACAACACTTTGCTTAGCAAGAAAGGTGCTAGTGAGTTTCACTTACTTAGTTTGATGCTTTTACTTTCATCACCGTTTCAGCAATTTCTGTTTAGCGACCAATAGGAAGACTTGGATTTATCTGTTACTGTATTCTTGCATGTCACCTTCGTATTTGTTAAGGGGATATGGCATAATATTGTATATGAATTTAAAGTCAAGCCTTTGTTCCTCCTTTCTTAAGGTTTTCCTTTACACTTCACATACTTGGAAATTTCTTTTTGCAAGCATCATCAAGTATTATTATGGAAATTAGCAAACAATTTTAGTAAATACCCCTTAAAATGTATGCCTTAAAATTTCACTCCCACTGCTCCAGATATACCCATACAAGCCCAATGGACTTTAGACCACACTTGGAGCATGGAAGAAACCTTTGTGTGTCCTACACTATGGAATGTGTGTAGAAACTGGTACACTGGTAACAGCCTTCCTTGAACCCTCCCAGGTGCTTAAGCCTCTTCTCAGTGTGGAAAGCCTCCACAGTAAAGTAAGGATTTCCAACCCGTTGGGAATTTCACTAGTGAAGGGCTGTGTTTCAGTCTGTGACACAGCACTGGGCAGATGCCTTGTGCAGAAAGCTCTTCAACTGGAAAAGAAGGAAAAAAGGAAAAATAAAAGCCTAAACTTAGATTTGTTGGAGGTTCTTTGGGTCAGTAAGGAGGACTGCTGCAACCCAACGCATTCAGCTATGTATCAGCATGAATTGATCTCTGTGGAATGTAAGAGAGCAGCCTGAAACCCCGGGGACATAAATTCTTGCATCTGGTACTTTGTTATGATCAAAAATGTCATGATCTCAGTTTTATATCTTTATTTAATGTGGTAGCTCTTACAGGTACTGTCTTTCTGATTTGATGATGAGGTTGTTTTGTTCCAGTGTAAGGAGAAGTGGATTGAGGTAACGAAGATCAAAAGAGACACAGCTTCCATTTAAAAAGTAAGGAGAAGATGATTGATGAAGAAATTGGACAATGCAGAAACATCAATAGCCATTTAAAAATCTTTTAATCTCAAAGTGCTTTGATATCATAATTCTCAGAAAACATTCCAGGTGGTAACGGTTTGTATTTTTGAGATCGTTATTACTGTCAGTTAAAGGAAGACCACTAATGTGTGAACTACACCGTTTCAGATGATCCACGCATTTGAGTGCAACATGCTGACAGGTACTGCCTCATCTTTCTTCCACCAAAGTCTATCTTTGATATCACAGTAATTGTAGAATTAGGACAACAGCAATCCAAAGTGATGCATTGTTTAATTACAACCTTCTTAATAATTTTGGTTGTTTTTCAGGCCAGATTAATGTCTTAAATTGGTAAGGTGTTAAAACAGTGTCAAATAATGAAATACAGGAGGTATTTCAATGTAGAAAGACTATTGCTTCTTCCCAGTGTGAGGAAGGAGCAGAGCTGGTAATGAGTGAATGAAGTATTAATACCAGAGAAGGAATTCCTTGTGAGTCTTCTCCCAAGGTAGGTCAAAGCTGCGTTTGTTTTTTTCAGAAATAGTTCATTTAAAAGCCTTCTACCACATGTGTATGTAAACCAAGGTTTAGCACACTGAAAGGCATTCTCTCTCCTCTTTCTGTGTGCCTCTGAGGCATGAATGCAAGGAGCTGACACTAAAAGATGCCTCTCTTCAATCTTTCATATCTACTTTTATCCAAAGACAGTGCTTCAACCTTTTAAACTGGTTTTGTTTCCAGTTAAAGAAAGGGAAATGGCTCACACAAGGAACACTTGTGAAGACTAAGAGAGGCTGCAGAGTTTACTGGGTTGGACAAGGCATGCTCTAAACAACAGCTGGTCTTTTTTTCCTTTGCAAAGTTCTCACATCTCATTTACCCCAGAGCAATTCTTAGGTGTCAGCCTAAACCAGAAAGTTCCTGAGGATTAACCTGGAGAATCTTGAATCAAAAAAATCAAAAGCTGATCAGTGGGTTCTTCTGCTAGATCTTATGTTGCCACTTCCTTTCCGCACTGTTCCTCTTGAGGTTCTCCTTCCTGTACGGTACAGTCATCCTTTTCAGCCCGAGGCTTGGACACTCTGCAGAAATAGGGATTGTCTAATACTGGAAATAGTTTGCAGTGCTTACTTGCTGCTTTGCCTCATGCACAAGAAATAGAGAGCAGTCATAGGAGTTAAGATAGAGAAGCTGTGGTGCTTAGTGAAGTTGTTGTAATTTTGCCTGCACTAGATGATACAAACTGGAACACTTTCATGGACAAGGGAAATATTTCTACTCAAAGGCAAAGGAGCTGTATTGCATTGGGTTTATTACCTGTGAACATCAGATTCTTCTTCCAGCAAGTCAGTGGCATCTTTCCCTTTTTTCCTTACAAATTCTTCACTTAGCCCAACCTGCTGGAGGGTGTGTCTGTAGCGACGCTCTGCTTCTTGACGAGCATCGTGCTATGAAATCGAAACTTAAACAGTAAGAACATAGAACTGGGGCTTCCTCATAATGGTCAAGTTGTTTCAAAGTTCACGGCTGACACTCTTTAATGAGAACAAGAGGACAGCAAAGCCCCCATCCAGAGTTTTTGTCATCCATACAGTACAATACCAAAACAGAACACTAGGAGAATGTCTCACATCTCTGAAAGCTCACCTCTTCCAGCTTCTGTTCTTTTTTTCTTCCTTTTTATGTTCTTCTGCTTCTACAGCATTCCAGTCTTTCCAGACTAGCATACTTGTGTCTGAGTCCTGACTCTGACACTCAAATAGAGAATATGTGCAAAAAAGGGTTGTGAGAAATTCTGAAAGCATGTTTGCATGTAATTTGTAAGCACTAACCACAGTGGAGTTCAATAAACAGAGAGTGCCTGTCAAATAGCTTCATATCAGATCATCTTCAAGAAACTGAAACCCAAGCATCCCACATCCTATATCCTCACTGCCTCCCCATAAACATTGCAAATTAACGTAGTCTGAGATGACGGTTTTCCAGAGGGACTGGTCAGTTCCTAAAGATTAAGGTGTTCTGTATGGAAAGATAGAAATCTTGTCTCCACATGAGTGAACGCTATTGATAATGGTGAATTTCTACCAACCTGGCAAACAGAAATATTATCAATACTTATCATACAAATGTGTTCTCTGCCTCCATTAACCACTCACCTGAACCGAAAGTCTGACCTAGGAGGCTACTTTCTATTGAGAAATCTTAAATCAGCACAGTCAAGATATTGTCACTATGTCTCTAACCAGATATCATCTCTGCAAGGAGAGAGTATCTACAGAGATACCTTGCAGAGAGTAAAGGTTGTACCTACACCTCAAGTGCCATGTAGGTTTGCAGATGGTACTGCGTGATGGATGAGCTGTGCTGAACACAACCAGACAGCAGAGCTTGGAGGTGATATAAGCAATTTAACTGTCATTAATGTTTTTCTAGTAGCACTAGAGGTACAAAGAAAAACTGCTCTGCTACATAGTTTTAAGAAAAAAAGTTTAAAATTTCTAGACGGTAGGCTGTGGCATTCAGGTGTAGAATAGGTATTATTATAATTTCTGGTGTGATAAGGCCATAATTTTGATCAGACAATATATTTTGATTGCAATATATACTAGGGACCGGAAAGCTCTATAACCTTATCTCTGGAAAAAAGATAAGTCTGAGTGTTTTTCAAGTAGTGAGAAGGAATTGAAATTACATTTGGGTGGCCTTCCAGGTGTTATTTTGCCTGTAGTCTAACCATTTGCACCTTCTTATCTGTGAATCACTTGAAAGTAAATTTCTTAATGCCTGTCTTAAATGAAAGACAATGTATCCTGTCACCCAGAAACACTTTGGAACTTTGACCAGTTACCTTGGTGACCTGTTCAAAGAGGTATGGTCTCGTCTTGACTCGCAGCTGCATTTCTTCCAGCTCCTTTCTGTACTCCCTTGATCTCTCTCTCATATTTTTCCTGAAATGGAAAAGTTCCCTGTCTAATACAGGTTCCTTCTGACTATAGCTGATCAGGAACAAGGAATTCTCGATAACTGTTTTTGTCCTTTAAATAAAGGTCTGGTAATTGTCTTGATTCCGAATGCTGGGCAGAACACTGCTGTTGCTCCAAGTTACAGACCCTCAGCAAAGCTTCACCACTAGAGTGTAGGCAGAGAACCAGTGTTTGCATTTTTACAAAACCTTGTCTTAGGAGGGCTTTACCAAATGATACATTTCTTTTGGATTGTTTCTACAAATGTTAATCTAAAGGAAACTGTTTTATATGGAAAGAGTAGTGTGGAATTCTCAAGAAATCCAAATGACTGTGGAATGACAGCCAAAAATGTTAGGCTAGGAATTGTAGGTCCTTAGGCCCAATTCCTCCTAAAGTTCCTCCCAGTTAGTAGAGTGAATGGTTATTTCTGTGCAGAGTAGGATACTGACCAGTTCTGTCTGGACTTCTCCTTTTGTGTTT